AGAGGTCGCTAGTTCAAATTGAGTCATATAAGTCCAATGTAGCTACTGATGATTGCAAACCTTTGTGTTTGTTAAATCTACCTACTGGCAGATTGATAAGTGCTCTTGCTTCCTTTGTTTGCAATGAACATGTATCAGGACAAAAAGAACTGCTACAAAAACTTTATAAAAAAATCAACATAATAGCATTTATAAACCTGCAAAATACCTAAAACAATAAGTTGCTTGAAAGAAGAACACTTCTCTGTAATATATACTGGTTTCCCAAACATTAACAGTACATCCAAATCAAACAAATGATACAATATTGAGCATTCGAGCAGTAATAATTAAAATGAAATAGGAGACATATTTGTTGGAACATGTAATCTGAGGAACATGATTACTCCAGATGGGGAGCATAAGAGCTATCAAGTGAAGAATTTCTTTTCTCTTTATAGAATCAAAAGCAAATCCAGCGAGTCACAAGATGAAATTCTGTTCCCCTTTTCACTCTTCAATTTTCTCTCAACCTAAAAGAATTCAAAATTATGATGGGTGAAAATTAAGGTACCTTCAACATGGGGTTCTCCATGTGTAAACTCTCCAACAACCAAGTCCTTATCCAACACAATGAAGGTTTGCTCTGTAAAAAAACCAGCCATAGCTCAGGACATCAAAATTGAAAGATAAAGCAAAACTCCCCTGCCTGATGACAATGTTTGGAAATAAAGCCATTTTTCATATTGTTCATGCCAAGTGCAAGGAAGTTTTTCCCCAAAACAAATTGAAATAAGAAAAAACAAAAAACAAAACCCAATGCACAAACTGTCTTTCACGAATGTAAACAAAATGGGATAGAATACCATTAAGACCAACTCTGGAAAAACCATCCACACTCTACTCAGTACATCAAAATTCAGAAATAAATGGAAAGGATAAAAACATCGGATGAAGAAAACGTTTGAAAATACAGCCATTTTCCTTAGTGTTCAATTAAATAGACATTAACTTCCACAAATATCCGCAAAAGGGAAGAGAGAAAGGAGAAAAGAGTAACTGTCGGGGTCTTGTGACCATGAAAGCTGCATCTGGTATTCCTGATCGAGGGTAAGGGGCTCAGACCCTGTAGCTTCAAGAAGTGACGGGTCTTGCATCCACTGGTGATACTTCGGCACGTGAGCTTCCGTGTATGGCACCAATATCACTTTCTCTCCTTCTAAGCTCACTCTCTCCTTGCTTCTCTCCTGAGTGCGATTCAAGCCGCTCTCAAGCTCCATAGCCATGGCCATGGCCGAAAACAAGGGTCAGCTAAGCTTTTGGCGAGCATTCCCGAAAACCGTTTACTTTTGAAAAAATAAATAAATAAATTCAGTTTTTGCCTTTTGGCCATTATGGGAGTGAATAATAGAGGGATAATTCGAGCCAGTTCCGATGGATTAGATCGATTCCGTCTGCAAAATTTTAACGTCGGGTTCAGAAAGAAAAAACATATTTTTTCTAGAATAAGTTTAAAAAATTCGAACCAGGATCGATCATATTCAAATTTTACTCGAATATTCAAATAAAAAATATATCTTTACCTGAATAAAATATTTTAAATACATAAATTTAAAATGTGGCATTTGAAATTAAATTTAAATTAAATTCAAATCAAATTCACCAATTTGAACACTACCCAAGAGAAAAAAAAAAAAGAACCAAAATAAATCCTTTCATAATATTCAAAGGACCCAAAGATTAAAGTTTAGGATTGAAAAACCTTATGAAGTAACTTAAAAAGCCTTAAGTTATAAACTTATCCTCCAAAGTTTTCTCATATGATAATTCTTGATACTGAAAGGTATTTTAGAGTAGGTTTGATAATAGAAGTGAAGTGAAAATTCCAAACTTTGGTACCAATTGATACAGAATAGGGAAGAAGAAGGGGAAGAAGATAATATAAAAAAGAGAGAAAAGGAGTAAAGACAATATAGTGAGAAAAGAGAAACTCAGAGAAAATGCAAGATAATAGTAATGCTCAAATGTTTATACCAATTAAATGAGTTGAGGTATTATTTAAAAAAATAAATGTATGAATTTCCAAGAAATCTAAAATTAAATAAAAAGATAATAATAAATGAAAAGATAATAATAAATGCGGAAAGATAATAATAATTTAAATTAAAAAGAAATAAGCAAAGATATTATAAGGATATTATAAATTTGAAGATCGAAATATTTTACTCTCATATTAATTAGGCATATTTTATTTTATTGTTATCTTTTAACATTTATTATTATCTTTTTATTTAATTTAGAATTTTTAGAATTTTCACGCATTTATTTCTAGGATTAGATTGAGACCTATAAATAGCAACTCAACTTATTTGATTTGTACGCACATTTGATTGAATAAGAATTACTATTATTTTGCCTCTCCTCTAAATTTCTCTCCTGAGAGTTTTGTTTTATTTTTATTAATTTTTATGTTTTTTTTGTAATTTTTTCTTGAACCTTTTATGTAATTTTCTCATATAACGTTGTAAAAAAAAAGCACTAAGTCAACAATGATACATGAGTACCTTAAACTTTATAAAAGCGGCTAACCAATCCCTAAATTTGGGTAATTCAAGTGAATAGACTTATTTAAGATGGGCTTATTTGAATCAAATTTAAATTACCTAAATATAAAAAAGGCCAAATAATCGAGCCTAGCTATGACACCCTCGAGTTTTTAGAATGCTCGTATACCCAAATTATTGTTAACTATTATTTTATTTTTCTTTTTAGCCAATTTTAATTTTCATCTTAAAAATTTAAGATTTTTAATTTTATCTAATTTTAATTTAATTTTATTAATAATAAAAAAGAATTTAAAAATTTGAGTTAAGTTCATTTAGATTCGAGGTTGGTCCAAATTTCTTCAAGCTTATTTTGACAGCTTGAATAAGCTCAAAATAAGGAAAAAAATTATACTCCCAAGCTCGCTTAATATTTTTGAAGCTTATTCGTTTAGTTTAAATTACCAATTTTAACCTTCCTCAATCCATTAAAATAATTTGATGTTGACTATTAAGTTTTAAGGATGAAACTTAACAAATTAAAAAAATGTTAGCCTATTTTATAAAGTTAATTGGTGCCATATGCACAATTTTTGATTTATGGATATAGAAAGCTTTTGGAGAAAAAGTTTATAAATATTTTTACATTTTATCTTTTTTTAAAACAGTTAATATTAACGAACGTCAGTCAAACTTAATAGTTTAGGGAAAGGTGCCCTTATTAGAAAGAGTTCATGCATGCTCCATGTCAAAATAATCTAATATATAAAGTATATTGATGATTTGGCATGATGTAGCCAAATGAGAATAAATTATTTCTCAAATGTATTTAATTTTTTTAATATAATTCCTTACAATGTTTTTTACTCCCCTGTTTTTTAAAATTTTAAAGTCTATTTTTTTATCTAAATAATTATACATCTTTTTATTAATTTATATGGTTACCATCAATATTTTATTATCCAAATTAGAAAATTTTAATAGTGTAATCTCTTTTAAGGATTGAATAGATAATCGAAATAAACATAAAGGACTAACTTGAGAGAAATTAAATTTTAGATATCAAATTGATAATTGAGATAATCTTAAGGGCTAAAAGTTATAATATCCCATAAATAAATAAATGGCTAAGCAGAACTGTACCGTTTCCCAAAAAATGAAAAAAAAATTAAAAAAAGAAAAAGAAATTGAGCTTATTTCACTTTTTATAATGATTGAAAAGCTAGTTTAAATGTATAATGAAAAAATATGAAAAATATCTTTTAAAGCAAAAATTGTAATTTTAAATTTAATATTTTTTCTGAAAAATATCAAATTAGGCACAAAATATATATATATATATATATATATTATGTTCATTTTTGTTATTTTATATCTAGAATAACTTTTAAATCAAATCATTTAAATAAATTTCAATTTATTTAACTTACTTCTAAAAAAAAAAAGTATCCAAACATAAATTATATTATAGTTACATTCTTTTTTTCTACCTTCAGCTTACTAACCTTATTAATTCCTGATCTCAATTATAGATTTTTGAATCCATACATATACTAAGTAGAAATATATCCTCTTCTTCTTTAATAAATAATAGTAAGTTTCTTCTTTAATTTCCCTTTGCTCTAGATATGTGTTGAACGTTAATAGTTTTTGTTAAAAAAAAAAAATTGAGGCGCCCTTTAATTTGGTTGGAGAAGCTGAATATAATACTGATTGAATGTTGTGTTTAAGGTTGAAAATATCAAAAGTATACCAACAAATTTAGTGACCGGTTTCTATGCTCATCTCAAGAATGAGCACCATATACTCATCCTTGAGATGATATCTGAACCATCTAGATTTTAATTTGAATGGTCCAGATTTAATACATTATTATATATTATATTTTTTAAAATAAAAATTTATATGTTTTTAATCTGGTTAAGATTTAATTTAGCGAGTTCAATTTAATATTAAAATTTTTATAATTGATATATATTAATTATTCAAATACACTCTACATGATAATTAGATCCTTAAAAATTAAACCTAGACCAAATTACAAATAAAAAATTTATTAAAATTATTTTATAATTTTTATTTTAGTAAATATAATAATATAATAATATTTTAAATATGGATCATTTAAATTTTAAATTTAGATAATTCAGATTTTATTTTAAGAATGATCAGGGAACTCAATTCACAAACTCATTACCAGCCCACTGAGTGACACGCAATTATTGCGAAACTTGGAATGCCTCAAGATTGGAATAACAATATGATCCACAACTTGGATAATGTCTCCTTTTATGACACAACGCAAAATCAACACAATATTCTTGACTACATATAAAGAAGAGACCCAATCCTCCGCTGGTCAAAGAAAACAAAAGAGACAAAAAGAGGTCCAAATGATCTCTTAAAATATTTCATCTCTCAATTAAGTTACTAATCCACTTCATTTTTATAATAATTCAGAGAGCTGAAAAATAGGCGAGCTTGGCCCTTATAAGCCTGACTCTTAAGGGCTCAGGCCCTCCTTAAGTTCCGTTTCTTATTTTTCATCCCTCTTCTAAGGTTCAGCCCTTATTTCAAGGGCTCAAGGCTAAGCCCGTAAGCCCTATTTTAAAAAAATTAAAATAAAATTAAGCATTATAAATTAATTAAAATATTTTAAAATTTAAAAAATCAAAATCCTTATAATATTTTAGACATTAAACAACACACATTGAGAAGTCTAATAAGAAAATTTAAATTTGGTTAAAAAATAGTTCATTTTTTATAAATACACATAAATAATAATTATAAAAAATAAAAATATCAAAATTTTTATATTGTACATTGATATTTATTAAATTATATTAAATTAATTTTAGAATAAATTAAAATTAATAATAATGTAATGCATGTAGAATCAAGGCTTCAGGTAAACAAGTCATTCTTAGCTTCAAATGCATGTTCTATCAAAGAAAAAAATTAATAATAATATAACAAGGTTTAAAGGGTTGCTTAGGCTCGAGCTCTTTTTTACAGGACTTATCAAAGCTAGGCTCTCAGCCCGATTACTTTAAAAAGATTAATTTTTAAAGTCCAAACTCTTATTTAAATAAGATTTCTAAATCCGACATTTATTTTTGACTCTACTAATCTTATGTCCAAACAGGTTCCCTTTTGGTCTCACTCCATTTTGCTGCTTTCTACAATGTTATCTGATTGCTGTCCAAGTAAATTGACACCTTCATGCTCTGCTTCTGCACACTATTTCAAATTTAATTACTGTGTGAAGCATACTCGTACCACAAAAAAGAATGGTTGATATTTATTTCTTTTTGTTGTGTTATTCGTGCCATGAAAATTAAGCATCTTATATTTAATAAAAGCATTTTAAAAAAAATACTTAATTATTTGTTAATAATTCCTTTTGCAGGCTTTTTAGGGAAGAAGAAAAGTCGAATCTTAATGCTTCACATATTAACGTCCTATCGAATACTACCTTGTTATAAGTTTCTCTATCTGAAAGGACCAATATATGTGTGTCTATATATATAATTTATAAATTTATAATAAGCTATACGATTCATAGGGTATAAATAGTAAAACTTACATCAAGCTCTACACCAAACATGGGTATATACTACAATCTAGTTTGCCAAAAATCCCTCAACGTTTCAATTTCAAAACGTCAATTGTATTACAGTTTTCATAATTTTCCTGTTTTCATGAGCACATGCTTTCAAGGACATGTTTTTCTGCTCACTAGTTCAAAACCTTGTGCTTAAACTAGCTTCTACCCTTGTTGTATTGCAAGGAAACTTCTAAAAAGGTGCATGTAATAAAAAAAAATTAGTAAATATTCACTACAAAAAATTATTACAATAAAAAAGGAAATTAAAGACGGCCTAATTATCATCTCTAATAGAGATAAAAATAGAGAATAATTATATTTTTAAAATTGGGTTTAATTTAAAAAATATTTTAAAATATAGAGATAGATTTAGAGACAGATTACATACATATCTAAAAAAAAACAGTGTTGCAAAATCTGTCTTCACTTCTATCATTATCCATTAAAAAATTAATTTTTTTAAAAAAAATGTTAGAGTTAGTTTAGAGATGAATAAATTTTATCCCTAAACTAGTCATCTCCAAATCTATCTCTAATATTAATTTTATATTTTTTTAAATTTAGAGACTTAATTTGAGATAATTTTTTATTATAAATTTTTAGAGACAAAAATTTAACCATCTCTAATTCCTTCCCTATATTTCTTTAAAATTTCATAATTTTATTTTTATTAATTTAGAGATAGAATTAGAGATGATTAAATAAATATATTAGAGATAGAATGATTTTTGTTTCTCAATTCATTTGGAATTCAAAGTAGAGACAAATTTTGAAATGGGATCATATTTTTAATTTTTTTAATTTTTGAATTATCAAATGTCTTAATACATGTTTGAAATATATTAAGATGAAAATTAAATTTAAAAGACATAGAAAATGTTTCATCATTGTTTAGTGAGCTTCCCACTCAATGCAAACAACAAAAATTTAAGATTTGCATTCAAAAACATTTATCTTTAAAATTTATAATGTTTGAAAATATTTTGCACATCATTTAAATTTTTCTTTTTTTTTTCTCTTTCTCTAAGTTTAACCATTCTCATTTTCTAAATTCTTATTTAATATTCATTAATTTATTATATAATCATAATTGATTGAATTTTTTAATCTCTTCTGTGTTATTCATATTTTTCCTTCACTACTTTTATAATATTTAATAATTTTTTACCAAATAACAATATTATCTTATGATAAGTCACTAGCAATATTTTATAACAACATATTAAAAAGAAAATAAAATCCAAAACATCTATAAAATTGAATATTAAGAAGAATTAATAAAATATGTTTGAAATGACCATAAATAATATTTATACTACTAGAATTAATTATTTTAGTGAAAAATATCATTTTAATTCTAATTATATATATGTATGAATAATGTAGGAAGGACAAAATAAAAAAAATTTAAAGTACATAAAAAATAATTATTTTGTTGACATATAGTATAACATAAAATTATATAAATAAAATAATATTTAATTTATTATAAATAGAATACACTATATATATAACATATTTATAAGATTTAAAATTTAAAATTTGTTTCCTATTAAATAAATTTGATAAAAAATAATTTTTAAATATAAAAATTCATATAAATATATTTAATTTAAATATTTTGTATTTTAAAAATTATTAGTATTCATTAGAAAATTTAAAATTGTTTAAAATGAAAATTAAAAAAATGTATATGGTTAAAATTTTTTCATTAAAATAATTTTTAAAAATAATTTAAAAATTATAAGTAAAATTTATTTGTAAGAAAGTAATGAAAAATATTTAATCATTTTTGGGAGAAGATAAAAATTTTATCACTTATTTATTAATTTTTTAAAATAATATGAAAAAGATAAAAGTAAAATATATTTAATATAAATTAACATGATACATATTTTTAAATAAATTATATAATTAATTATAGTCATTTAAAAATAATGTTTCTATATTAATTTATTTCATTTTAAGTTTATTTTTCTAACAAAATAATTTATTTAAAATATAATATAAATAGTAATATAAATAATTTTATTATATTAATAATTAAAAATAAAATAATATATATATATCTTTTTAATAATACATTATTTTATATATGTACATATAGTTAAATGATTAAATGATATATATTTAATTTTAATTTAATTAATAAAATTATAATAAATATGTGATATGATATGCAGTGATGGCTGACATGACGTGATAACATAATGTGTGATGTGATATTGGTTTAAGTAAAGTCTCTTGGTGTATTGACCGAAAAAAAAATAAATTGCAATGCATTTTAATAGTATAATATATATTGGCACTGATTTGTTAAGTGCAAAGGTCAGTTTAGTGGTAATTGAGCCAAGATTTCATCGCACTGGTCTGAGGTTCGAATTTCACCATAAAGAAGGAGGTCTTCTCTTCTTTTGGATTATTTTTCATCCTTGTGAAATTACCATATTGCCCCTACCATCAGATATTTTTCCCTTCTTCTTTTTCCTCTTCACTGACCCAACACTTTACTCGTGAGAAATCCCAAATGCTCTGCCCTGCGATCTCAGTTCGCCACCCTCTTCCTTCTGCTGTCATCGCCAGAGACGTAAGTATGCTAGAAATCCTCGCCTCCTTCTCTGTTCGTGCGTTTGATGTTGCTGTTACTGTCATCAGTTTTCTCCATCTTTCGCCCTTTCCTTCTCAGTTTGCAGTAGCTGTTGCTGTCACTATTGCGCCATGCTCACAACTCATTCCTTTTCCATCATCTCTGTCTTCTTCTCCTTCCTTTCTCCGCTGTCTTCAATGTTGCCGGTGTGGTTGTGAACAAGTGTCGTCAACCACTGCTAGGGGGTAATTGTGAACAAGTGTGATTGTGATTTTTCCCTCTCCCCTACTTCATGTTGTTCTTCGAGCTCTGTCCGTGTGGTGATTGTGGACGCATGAGGATCTTTTTCCTCTTCCTTTTTATGCAGCCAGCATCTCTCTTTCCTTCTTCTCGTTTCTACTGTCACTGATTTAAGGCAAGAGTTTCCAAGACTTCTCTTCATTGACTCTGTATGTGCAATGGGTTTTAAGTGGCAAGAATTTCAATTCTTTCTACGTTACCTGCTATGCGTGGGATTAGAAATAGGGATTTGGGAAAGCTGGAATTTAAAGCCTAAGAGGATATTCTCATTAGATAATCTTGTTATATTTGTTTTGAGTCATTGTCAATGAAGATGACCGTGGAAGAGGTGTTTCTTCTAAGCTTAAAAGAAAAACAAAGAAGAAAGAGGTTTCATTGAAGGAATGGAATTTGGGTTGCTTGATTTAATACAAATATTGATATTGATGTTGGGAAATTTTTGGAAATGGATTTGACGAGGGAGAAGCTTGAGATTAGTTTAAGGATAAGTGCTTTGTAGGTGTTCAATAAAATGCCTAAGGAGAATTTGGCATATGAGGGTAGGGTGTGTGTGATGATTATATTGTTGTTGATAAGATAATTGTTAGAATACAATCTTCTTTAATAGAAGTTGGGAAGTTTGATTGGTTTTAATATGGATACAGAACAACCTTGAAAAAAAGAATTGAAGAGGAAAAAAACTTGGTTTTATGATGTAAACATTATGCGTAAAAGGTGTTGATACGTATGTCATTAACATTGATTAAACAATTATGGAAGGCATTCATGCTTTCCAATGGAAGTTAAAGTAGAAATTAGAGGTTTTTGGGAAAGATGTTTGAGTTGGTAATCTAAGAATCAAATTACTACTTATATATTCATTTTTGGTATAACCTTGAGATGCTTATTGTAATGTTGAGAAAGATAAAAGTAAATGTTTTTTTTTAATTGTTTCTCTAAATTGTTTAGATTAAAGATTTTGGATGGTATAGTACGTTTGAGGAAGTGATAATGATATTATTTAAATATTAAAAATTTTAAGACCAAGCATGATCATTAAAAGATTGATTTGGAAGTAAGTTTTATGTTTGATAACTTTATAAATAAGTGAATACCACTTTATTATCTTATATCTTCTAAAACCTGTGTACTTCTTTCCTGTGTACTTTTCATCTACAGTTCTTTCCCTCTAATGCCCCTGCTTGCCTTGGGTCATCAGCAGTAGTTTACCGTAAATGCCCTTTGTATGTGGGACCCATCATTTCTGTGTTTACTGTTGTTATTTCTGTAAAATGCCGTCTTCTTTCTCTCATTCCAGGTCATTCTGTCTCTCTTATTCATAATCATGGCCCTCTCACCCTTCTGCACTCAGTGTCACTGTACTCGAAGACTCACCCTCGTCATTGTCGCGACCTCTCTCTGTCTGCAATCCTTCTCCAATCGACCTTCTCTTTGTGTGTGACTCCCTCACGGCCTCGCCACATCTTCTTTGTTTTCCCTTCCTCGGCCGTCGCCGCATTCTGTCTGCCCCATTCTCCCTCACTCTATACTCGAGCTCAAAGTTCGTTCGGTGATGCACTATATAAAAGCTGCAGAGAGAGATTTAGAAGATCACGAAGGTGGTAGCGTTAGAGAGGGGTTTAGTGGATCAGAGGCCTGACCTCGAGCTGAGGCTGAGTGTGGCTCCCTCACGGCCTCACGGCATCTTCTTTGTTTTCGCTAAACCGGCCGTCACCGTGTTTGGTCTGCTACATTCTCCATCACTCCCTACTCGAGCTCAAAGATTGTTCGGTGATGTACTACATAAAAGCAGTGGAGAGAGATTTAGAAGAAGATCACGAATGTAGGAGCTTTAGAGACCGGTTTAGTAGATCAGAGGCCTGACCTCAAGCTGAGGCTAAGTGTGGCACCTTTCATTGATTTTTGGTGAATTTAATCAATTGCTGTTGTCTTTTTCTCAATGTTCTGGTACATTCAGCGTTCCCTGATTGTTGTGAACTAATATATATGCTGTTCATGTCTTTTTTTTCGTTGTGCTTGTCAACCAACTTTCAATGACTTAGGTTGCATCTATTGGCTTGTGATCTATTGTGATAGGGGAGCCAACTATTTGCAAATAGTGAGATAATTTTTTCATTGTTAGTTTCAGGTTGGAGACTTGCCTTGTCTATCTGTGACATTTTTTTTTTTTTTGGTTTATGTGGATTTGCATAGTCATGTATTATTGGAATAGGTCTTTATTTTATTTCTATATAGAAAGTTGGACTATTGTTTTTATTTTCAGTCGTGCGTTTTAGAGAAGAACGGTATGTTGAGGTTTCTGCTCGTATTCGTTGACGGGTATTCATGGATTAGTAGCTGGGTTGCCTTTGATGTATAGTTAGTATTCTGAAGGGAAAAGAAACAGAGGGAACAAGATGGAAAAATAGGAATGTAGAGAGCAGAACTAATATTGTGTAAGAAGAACTAACTTTCAAGATGATGATTATATGATTGTATTTAAGAGTTGATATTTTTTCCTGAGGTTTGTTCCCCTCTTTTTCTGGCATAGTTAGTTCAGTGTTGGTTGGCAAAAATTAAAAATAGTTTGTTCTGTTACTGATGTTACGGATTCATTTACATTATAGTGTCCATCGAGTGAATAATGCTATGAATATGATTAGTGTTCCTGAACATATTAATGTTCGGGAGATGCTTTCTAATTATTATTTGTTTTCTTTTTAAACATGGATAAGAACAAATGCGGGGAAATTGTTCCAGTATATGTTCTGTGAAGTTGCGACCACTCTCACTGTTTCGTGATCCAGTGAGTGTTTGAAGGTTTATGTGATGAAGAAAAATAGTGAAATACTGTGTTATTGAAATGGCACATTGTGTTGTTGTTTTGTGTATTCATGTAGGCTGTTCGGAAGTTATATGGAACGTTGATTGAATTTGTACAGCAGTTTACACAGCAATTAGTGGATTTTGATTGTGGTGAAGGAAACCAAGAAGATGGTGGGAGGAAGGTGGCAGGGGAAGGACATGGGAGAAGACGTTACTCAAGACACCGAGTCAAAGAAGAGGTTGATAACAAGAAGAAAGAGAAGAGAAAGAGGTATTGTGGGTTTGAATCAGAAGATGTAGAGAGGAGAGGAAAAATGTTAGTGCAGCATTCACATAATGTAAGGGGAGAAAAGAAAACAGGAAATGCACGGAAAAATAAAAATGCACGTGGAAATTTAAAAGATGTGACACCAGTGAGAGCCGTGTGCAGAAGTGGTCAAAAGAGGAGTGAGTACAAGTCAGCCAAATCTGTGTTTGCTGAGGGGTCTAAACAATTTGTACAGAAGGCAGCAGTGCGATCGGTGGTGTTGGCTTTGCCAGCAAGGATGATAGGGCGATCTGTGAGGTGTGGTCATAGGAGAGGTCAGCTTAGTGGTGTGGTGGCATATCCAGCAGGCATTGTCCATCGATGGAAGAGAACACCAGCAGAGATACATAATGCAACTAGGTAATTTGATGAATTTCATCCTGCATATCTAACCATTGTATCTTTTTTTATGTCCTTTTCTTATTGATGTGTAGTAAAAAGAGTGATATACCACGTCTCAAATGTCAATCGAAAGGGCCAGCTCATTTGCACACAGATTTGGAGGTAGCAATGAAATTATCATTGGACAAGTTCACAGGAGACAAGGAAGGGAGGAAGAGACAGCGTGTACATTTGATGCAGCCATCAAGGAAGGAGGTTTTTGAGTATTGCACAACTAGGAAAATGGGGAAGCGTAAAGATGAGTAAGTTTGTTAATTGAAAAGGTATAGTTAAGAAGTAACCAAATATATCTTCTTTTGACTGGGTTGTAGGACTATTGTTGAGGTTGATGGTTATTACTTGACAAGGAGTGAAGCCCAAAGTCTTGGACCGAGAAGATGTGTAAATGGCACAGTATGTGCATGTATTATGCTTATTTGCTTCACCTTCAAATAACAAATCAATCATGCAATTAATCCTGTGTGCTTTTTTGTAGGTGATAACTTTAGTGGGGCGACTGTTAATGGAAGAGCAAAAGGTAAAACACAATTATATCAAAAGACATATTGTGGACCCTAATTTCTTGGTAAGAAATGATCTAAATGTTACTCTTTCTTGATTGCACGTGTGGGGTGTCGAGAAAATAATTTGATTGTAGAATGTGTGTTTCATCCCAGTTTTGTTTATCTCATTGTTTGTTTTTCATAATTCTTGTAGTTGGAGTCCAATTTGGAGAACCTATTACCTAGACATGTGGGATACAATATCGCAGAGTGTGAATTGATTTTTGCGCCTTTAAATGTAAATAATCATTGGTCATGCTATGTGTTGGAGCCCAAGAGAGGTAAAATGTTTGTGTTGGACTCATTGAATGTCTTAAATTCCCCTTGTGCGAGTGGTGAGATTACACAAGGAAATAAATCAAAAGATGAATGTCGCGGAGGGCGAACAAATCAGGAACCCACAATTATTCAAGTCATGGTATGGCTTTGAACTTTTGCATTGAATAGTAGATAAATGTTGGTTATATTTTCTGACATTGGTTATTTGATTTTGGTAGAGGGATAAATTTATTTTGTTGTTGAAGAAATTGAAAGGGGAGGCAAGCAGTCAATTGATTGATTTGGAAGTCGAAGTTGTAAAGATGGTTAGCCAGCCTGATATGTGAGTTTAAATATGCTAATTGGTTAATTAACCTTGTAAAACGTTTTATATATTAATGTTAGGAAATTTTGTGTAGATTTTCTTGTGGGTTATATGTTGTCTATTGTTTAAGACACTGGGACAATGAAGTTAAAGAGGAATGGGCCGGATTAACAGTGCCTGCTTTCACAATTGTAAGATATTTGAAAAATTTTAAAGCCTTTGTGGTGTCGTAGAAAAAGAGTAGTTAATTTTCATTGACAGTGGTTACTATTTTTTATGCCCCCCTCCCAAAACAGGAGCAACTCTCTGACATGCGTGTGGATATTGTTAATTGGCTTAGTACGCACCCACTTAATATGGTCTCTGAGAGTCTTATGGCTTCTATTGTTGATGGCACAAGAGTTAGTAACCCCAAATGTATAACAAGTGAAGAAGATGATCTGTAGTTATTGCGTGCTCAACCCGCCCTTTTTTGGACAGCTATAACGTATATCGAATGGGAACTATACGGTCATGACGCAAATGAATTGTGTAGTCGCTGGCCACTACACAGTTAATGATTAGCTTTATATTTCGGTCATTGATGTACTGTTGTATTCGTGTTGAAATTGTATGGCTCTATTGCAGTCATTAAATTCTTTTAATATGTTACAAAGTAGGCTTGTGTGATCATTGAAGTTAATTTTTAAATTTTCACATTTTTTTACTTTAGTAATGTGGTTGTACTGTTTTTTTTTTTTTTTTTAATTTTGGAGTTGTATTTTGACTCCTTGGTAGCTTGATAATCATAATTCACAATAATTATCGCTAACTATTGTGCATTAACAAATGACTAACCGCTATCATAATTCACGTGAGGTTGCATCTGACGTTGCAACGTGATATTTATAAATGTGTTTAGAGTATTTATAGAGTTTATTTGTACTCACGATGTCCTTCGCCATTTTCGGATCATCTGGTTGCTCTCATATTAAATTGAATTTTTTTTTTATACTTGGAGTTAAATTCTTCAAAATGTCTCGCCATTTTTCATTGACTATGCAAATTGGATTTTGCAGTGTCAATTTAACTCTAAGGAATTCAACCATCTTGCTCTTATTCATTTCAGGTTGTAATAGGTTTGTAAAACATGTAATTGTAGTTTTAATAACATGGTAAGTGAAGGTTGAGGGTTAAAGGGAATTTTTTGAAAGTCTATGTTTTTGGTTTTAAAACATTTTGTGTGTTTAGTGGGATTTAATAGTATGTGTAATTTTATTTGAGAGTGTCCTATAATTTATGCTACAGGGTAGTGCTTGGGCGATAGTTGCCAGGACTAGAGAGTGTTTCTTCTTGGTAATTTATAAAATCAATTTAAATTTTTTTATTTGGGGTGAGAAATTTAATTAACTTGAGTCAATAAAATCAATTGGAATCAACACACGTCTTGATATTAAAACAGCACGCTTTCAAAATTAATTATAAATTAGTTTTTGACTAAATTTATAAATTTGGTCTTCCTGAGGTTTACTGATATCGTTAATAGACAGGTTATTATTATCAGTTCTCTTGATCGTGGAAACTACTACTCAAATGCACGGATATCGTTTAAAATCTTGTGTTGTTTATGTTCATCGTTTTCTGTTCAAGGGCCCTTATTAGCTGAGTTTATTTCAGTGTTTATTCTTAAAACCCCTTATTATGTGGGTCCCTTTTTTTTTTCCTTTGTGTTTGCTATGGTTAAGAAAAAATGTCATCTTCTCTCTTGCCTTCTAGTTCATTCCAGCCCTCGTAATAGTTCCTTGTCCTCTTCCTCTCTCATCCTTTGTGCCATTGCCAGCGCAGAATATCCATTATTTCCATGGCGTTGTATCGGCTATTTGTCTTCACTTCTTATCTAGTTGTTCTTCTCTTCGACTTCGTCTCCATTGCCTCCTCGCCGCATTTTCGTTGTCTTCCCTTCATCTGTCGTAACCTCATTCTCTTTGTATCCTTTTCATCTGCCTTTAACATCTCTAAACTCCATAGCTTCTTGCTACGGGTGCATTGTTTCTCTATCTCTGCTCGACGTTAAGAGAGATGGCGCATTATATATATGAGAGCTTGAGAGAGACATTTGGCAGATCACATGTCTGACCTTAGACAGAGTTTGTCTCACCGGCTGAGTTCTGTGGGCGAGTTCAACAGCGAATTTTGTGCGCTATTTTTTGGTGAGTCACGTGGGAAATTTAGATGTAGAGGTTTATTGAATTTATCATATGAAAGCCTTTATATTTGTGTGTTCTTTCCCTGTTTTTTTACTGTTATTCTTTATTGTTTAATATTTTAATCACTCTTTCTTTTTTGATGGAAACTTTTTTTTGGTGCAAATTGTTATGAGTCATATATCAAAGGGGAGTCTAACAATGTAATCGATGCAGTCCTCCATTATATTTCCTGACGCGCAATTATTTTTTTTAATTATTGGGGCATAAATTATTTCATTGTGAGTTCTTTTGTTATTGTTTTATGCAACCTTAATTGATTTTATTGTGGTTGGGAGGGTTTTTTTTATATTCTTTATACGTATGTTAGAGAGGATTTACTTGCATAGAGTTTTTGGTTTCTTGGCCATCAATTTATTTACTAATTCATGGTTTCTTTATTTATGAAATTAATTTTATGCCAGTGACATATTTATCGGCAATACAATTGGGTCAATTTCACTTGTTGACATTAAGTTATGCTTGCCAATAGAATTATATGCAGTCAAATCAATTGTGATACATGATAGTAACATTTTACTTTTATCATGTTTTCCATGTCCTCTAGGCCAAAAAAAAAAAAATAAAAATAAAAAATTACTGATGATAATTATGAGTTACTTTATCAATGAATCTAATTAGTGGTGTCCACAAAAATCATCACATTCGCAAAGTACAAACCCAACCATGAGTTCCACTGATTTCGTTTCTTACCTTTTTACTTCAAATTCATCTTTCTCTTTGGGGTTTCATTCATTTTTCATGATTTATTGTTTGAACTGTTCTTTCATACTTTAAGGTGGATTATGAATAATGTTGAGAATTTTTTTTTTTTTCATGGGGCCTCACCCAGACCAGCAGATCTTGAAGGAGTGCCTTTAATTCCACATCTAGGTAACTGCCAATCCTTTCAGGAAGGTTTGTCATCTTTATTTCCCTATAGTCATTAATCTAATCGTGGCATTTTAGCTGAGATGTGTCTTCAATTTCATGGACCTTTGTTCAATTCTTTTGGTTCGGGCCAAACATAGATTACAACTATCGTTGTATCGGAATTGGTTTCTTTAAATTTAATATATGGTCTTTTGATTTTGCTAAGCGTTTATCTACGGGTTTGGAAGTTCTTTTTTGTTTTTGTTTTTGTTTTGTGTGTCCTTTTTTGATGCTTCCTTCTCTTTTTTTAAGAGCATATATCTCTTGGTGTGGAGAATAAGACATAGGATGTTCCTTTATATGGAAACATATTTTGGTTTTTCCTTTTTTTTTTTCGTCGAGCATGTTAGGAATGTTGGACAATCCATATATTGAGCATGAAGGTATGAGACAGGATACATCGCTTAATCATACTCCTCTGTTCCGGTTAAGGTTGGTACTATTATTTTTGCTTTGTGTAGTTTTATTTTTAATGTAACAGGTTGGTTAATATTGTTTCAAGTATTCGGTAAAAATTTATGATTGTTAAAGTTTTTTTGTTTAGGAAAAGAAAAGTTAGTCATGGACGAGAACAGTTGGATGATTATCATAAGTTGTCAGGTGCATAATCTTTAATAGTTTTCTTGTATATTGGTGTTGTTATTAATTACATACAGTGACATGTCTTCTTCTTATAGCTCATCCTACTAAAAGACAGAATAAATTACTGATGTTGGGATCTGTTTTAGCTTTGTCTGCGCATCCAAATAACACTAAATTTGGGTCCAGTGTCACTCGAGACTCCTGCATCGTGCATGCTGAATCAAGGTTGTGTTTCTTTAATTTCTTGTTGTATGTGTGTGTTTCTTTTTTTTTTTTTTAAATTTACCTAATTTTGTTGACTATGCCATTGATTGATCCCTTGTTCCTGTGTAGGAATGTTGTTGTGGATAAAGCTCAATCCTATGAAGGTTATAATTTTACTTAATTTTTTCATTAGTAGAGGATTTATTATTTGTTTTAGTATTTATTTTTACTTCAATACTTACTCATGGTGCGAGTCTTTAAGATTGCGAGTCGTCAATGATCGGACTCATATATCTGAGCATTGCATGCAAGATAATAATATCAACTTTTGATGTGGGAATAGGATGGTTGTGCTCTTTTTTATGATGTTTTCCTTGCGATACCTTTGTTTTTACATACTTATGCTAATGTTGTGTTAGTTAAATTAATGTGTAGGGTATAATGATGAAGGAGATCCAGTGTTTGCTTGTGGTCACTGTAGAGCCTTGGTGTGGTACAATGAAAGAATTAAGCATGGACCATTTATTGAACCATTCCGATTTTCACTCTGTTGTGTGGAAGGAAAAATAAAGTTGCCACCACAACTATCGCCACCAGTGTACTTGAAGCATTTGTTTTTTGATTTTGGTGCAAGTGATTCTTAAAATTTTATGAAGAACATTAGATCTTATAACAATATGTTCTCTTTTACTTTCATGGGAGGCTAGGTAAAAATTCACGATGGATGTGGTCCTTATTCATTCATAATAGGTGGTCAAAATTATCATCATATCGGGAGTCTTTTACCTGAAAGTAGGACCACTCTTGTTTACTCCTAGCTTTATGTGTTTGACACTGATAATGAGATCGATAATTGAATATTTGTGGTGAGGTTGTGACTTTTTTTAGAAAGATTTCATTGAAAAATTCTTTCCTTGGTTTCCTTTTGTGAATTTTTGTTATTTGTTTACTTTTGTAGGGGGCGGAACAAAGAAAGCCATCTAGATCCCGATATTATGACGAAATTAATGCATTTGTTCGACAATGTTAATATTTTGGTACAATTATACAAATCGGCCTCAACAATTCTTATAAACAATTATGAAGATGATATTAAAATACAGTTACTTAGTGAATGCTTAAGTCGTTGGAGGAATTACGATTTGCCTGTGACTTCTGATGTTGCTACTCTTGTTGTCGGAGATTTCAACCATTCTTACCACCCTAGGGACATTATTGTCAACAAATAGTTGGGTGAGTTAAGGAGAATCTATGACCTTTATTAATCGTATTTGCCTCTTCAATACCCTATTTTGTTTCCATTTGGTACTAGAGGATATGAATCTAATATCAAACACAAGCATCAATTTGAGTCTGTGCAGTTGACAAAAGGTTTCTGTTCAAGAATTTTTTTCGTACCGCTTCATAAGTAGATATAATGAATGTTCTACTCTACTCCATTCTGGGAAATTATTCCAGTAATTTGTTGTTGATGGTTATACAATGATTGAGGCTGATTGACTTTGATTTATTCGATCAAACCAAGCTAAATTACGTGTTGATAAGTATAAGTCATTGACAGATGCTATTTTGAAGGGTGAGGATTGTGCCGTTTCCATTGGTAAGCACATAGTCTTGTCATCCTCATTTATTGGTGGCCCTAGATATTTACTTGAAAATTACCAAGATGCTATGGCTATTGTACGAGCTAGAGGTCATTCAGATTTATTTCTAACTTTTATATGTAACCCTGCTTGGCTTGAATTGAAGTGAGTTTGTGAATATTCTCTATGCACAGTGTCTTACAGACCTGATTACATCACAAGAATCTTTCATTTGAAATTGCAAACTTTACTTGATGTGATAAAGGATGAGCAAGTTTTTGGGGTTGTTGAGGTTGGTTTGTTTTTTGTTCAACTCCAAGTTTCATTTTGAATTGATTGATTTTTGCATTCTCATACTTTAGTTCTGGATTTTTGTTTTGGTATTAGTATTAATAAATTTCTTTTCCTATTTGTTGCCAGTTGTGTTCACCATTGAGTTTCAGAAAAGAGGCTTGCCTCATGCTCATATCATACTCCAGCTTGCCAAAAAAGACAAGTTATAAAAGGCAGTTGATAGAGTGATTTCTGTCGAGATTCCTAATCCTTCAAAGGACCTGGTTTTACATGATCTTGTGAAAAACCATATGCTGCATGGACCTTGTGGCCTTTCTAATGATAAGGCTCCTTGTATGAGAGATGGCAAGTGTTGTAAATATTACCCAAGGAAGTTTCATTCTGCCACGATTGTTGATAAGGAAGGGTATCCTACATACAGAAGAAGAGATGGTGGTTTTAACAATTTTGAAGAAAGGAGTCCTTTTTGATAATTAGTTTGTCATTCCATATAATCCTTACCTTTGCTCAAATTCCAATGTCATTTAAATTTGGAAAAGATGAATCAGACTAACTCAGTTAAGTACCTTTTCAAGTATGTCGGTAAAGGCAATGACAGAGTAATTTCTTCTTTTTACCAAGGGAATAGAAGTAATAGTAAAGAAGATTTCCATGATGAGATTAAGCAATACTGTGATTGTCGTTATATCTCGTCTTGTAAGGAAGCTTGGTGTATATTTGGTTTCAATGTCCAGTACAAGTATCCTTCTATTGAGAGGTTGAGATTCTACTTACCTGATGAGCAACCAGTTTTCTATTCTGACTTCTCCAAGCTCAGCTCTATTTTGGAAAGCCCAACTATTGGCCAATCATTGTTCCTTTTTTGGATAAAGTATAATGCTGATAATATAGATGGACATGATTTGACATATGTTGAATTTCCTTCTAAATTTGTTTACAATAAAAAAGATCATTTCTGGAAGCCACGTGAGAGAGGAATTAAGATTGGTCGACTGACTCATGTTCATCCTAGTACAGGTGAATTGTATTTTATGCGAGTTATGCTTAACAAGATCAAAGGAACTTCTTCTTATGAAGATCTTTGAACAGTTAACAATGTTGTTCATCCTACTTATAGGTTAGTATGTTTTGCAATGGGATTATTAGACGATGATCATGAATTTATTGCTGCTATCCAGGAGGTTTCCCATTGGGTTTTTGCAGTGGGTTTGTGTAGATTTTTTGCTCAAATGCTTTTGTCTCAAACTTTGTCTGGGATCGAACAAAATTTTTCATGTGTAATGACATGCTCTACATCCCGAAGGCGAATGAAAACTTGTCTGGTATGTATTCCTTTTACTTTATTGGCAACTTCTTTACTATTCTAAAATGCATTTTGATTTTTGTTTATTCTTTAACATGGAATTTTGTTTCTTTTTTTCCTGAAGGCATTAAATTCTCACCTTTAGAGAAAGAAAATGATGCATTGAAAGTTATCAACAATTTCCTGAGGAACAATGGCAAATCATTACATGATTACCCTGAGTTTTCAGTCCTTCTGATAGTGAACCCTCTTACTTATTCAACTCTTTGATATTGGAGGAAATTGAATGTTGATAGGGATTCTCTTTTTGTACAGGCCACTGAATTAATTTCCAAGTTGACGGCAGGATAGCATTATATTTTCCGTCGTCTTATAGAAAGTATGTCCAACACAAATTCAAATTTTTTTTTGTTTATGATTTTGGAGGTACTAGGAAAACATATTTGTGGAATTGTTTGAGCACTTTTTTGAAATCTTAAGTGAAATAGTTTTGAGTGTTGCTTCTAGTGGCATTGCATCGACATTACTTCCAAATGGCTGAATAGCTCATTCTAGATTTTCTATTCCCATTGATATTAATGAAGATTCTACTTGTAGCATTAAATAGAATTCACCTTTGGCTATGTTGATTCGTAAGGCCAAACTTAAAATTTGGGATAAAGCACCTATGATTCATCAATTTTGTATCAAAGCTGTAGATAGATCTTTTAGAGATTTAATGAGGATTGATTCTGACAGGAATCAATTTTTTCCATTTGGAGGGAAGTGTGTCATTATGGGTGGTAACTTCAGGTAAATCTTACCAGTTATCACTAGAGGGGATAGGGCTGATATGGTAAATGCAACCAGTAATCATTCATATTTATGGCAATATTGCAAGGTGTTTACTCTTACTAAAAATCTAAGGTTGCAGGCTGTTAGACACCAAGATCAAGAAGATTTAGAAGAATTTTCCAAATGGTTACTTGATGTAGGTGAAGGTAAAATCAACCAGCCCCGTGATGGTTATGTTGATGTTAAGATGCCAGATGAGTTTTTGATTACAAAATTATATTGATCCGATCAAGGCGATGGTTGATGATATTTTTCATGACATTAAGGAAGGTGGAGAGATTCTCCTGTTTTTTTTACATCTAGAGCTATTTCTCTCCTACAATTGATGTTGTCAATAGAATAAATCACTATATTTGTTCTATTTTCCCTAGGGAACAAGTGGACTTTTTTAGCTCTGATTTCAATGCATTGTCATCCTATGAGAATGATTCATTTGATGATATTTATACACCTGAATTGCTCAACATCATCAAATGTTCTGGGTTGCCTCCTCATAGGTTGTCATTAAAGATAGGAATGCCTGTTTTGCTTATTCGAAATGTTAATCAGTCAATAGGGTTGTGTAATGGAACTCGATTGACAATTCAGAGGATTGGTAGCAAGGTGATTGAGGCACTCATTTTAAATGGATCTTGTGTTAATCAGAAAGCATTGATTCATAGAATGGACATGACTTCTTCTGACTCGAGGTTGCTTTTAAGTTGAATAAAAAGGACAATTTCCCTTGCTCATTCTTTTGCAATGACTATAACTAAGATCTAGGGACAGTCTTTCAACCATGTGGGTTTTTTTTTTTTACCCAAATCAGTGTTTACTCATGGTCAGTTGTATTGCTTTATTGAGGGTGAAATTTAGGCATGGGTTGAGGATATTGATACATAATGACGACATACATCATCCAACATATCTCAAATGTTGTCTTCCAGGAAGTTTTTGACAATATCCCTGTGATGTAGTTGACATGCACCATCGTGAGCGAGGATTACATTGTGGTGCGAGAGGTATGATTAAGTTAATCAATCCATATTGTTTATTTTTCACTTGCAATGTTTTATATTGATTGTGGTGTTATAGGATTAATTTCTTGTGTCATAATCACTAAATGTCACTATGTGAGCCAATTTTTAATGTGAATTCTAATGTTGTAGGTTTAATTCTCATAAATTATATAAATAATGCCTATTTTTATCAGGTATGCGAAAATTTCCTTATTTTTTTATGTAGATGATATGCTTTCGTCTTAAAATATCATTTTTTAACTGCCTCATTTTTCAATAGTATTAATATTAACCAATAGCATTTTTTTTTTTGTAATGCCTGTCTTTTTAGCTCATCTTGTAGGCTGCATTGCTTCGATTCCTCTTCATGTCCCCCGTTCCTTGCCTGATTTAATATCCCCGTTCAGATTTTACATAGAATTCTGTCGGATTTCAAATTTGTTATTGCCTTAAATTTTAAATAACCATTCTTTACACTTTATTTCTTTCTTTCTGATTTTTTCCCTCATTTGTATGTTACAAAAGGCCTTCTATTCAGTTGGAAACTTTCTATAATTGCATAGTGTTCATATCTATTGATCCTCATGGGGAGCCTGGAAAACCATTCCCCAGTATTTGTAATATTGTTGGCTTATAACATTTTAATTTTTTTTTTACCAATTTTGTATAGTGCTTTTCCATGTTAGATTCAATATTGTGCTAATCGGACGCCAAGGATGATAGAAGGAATGGCAGGCTGTACCGTCATTTTTTTTCCCATTACTGTTGCTTTAGGTTTCTATCAAATTAATGACGTTCAATTTCTCGTGTTATTTTTTCTCAGTGAAGGAGATATCTGTAACTTGTGTCAGTTATTACTATTGGATTATTTATTCTAAATTTTTTTCCCACTATCATTAGTGGCTATTTTGTGGTCAATGTATTAACACCATAGTGTGCGTGTATTGGCTCTTTATGCAGTTAAAATCTACCACCTCATATTACCTCTCAATCTAAAAGTTTTATATATGTGTTGGGTATCAGAATAATAATTTACAGTGCTCTCTTCATTGTACATTATGACTCACTGGAAAAAAATAATTAATGTAGATATATATGAGAATATGTGATAAAATAAATTTCATTAATTATGCTTTGTCCCAATTAGCCACAACCATTTATTCTATCTTTTATAAATTTTAATATCATTGGAATAATAAATGCATAAAATTTACAAAAGATTTTTTTTTTAGTGAGACATTGTTAGGGTGTAAAATAGATTTAATAACCTATATTTATATGTGATTTTTTTTTTAGAAATGTATTAGCTTTTGAGGCATATAGAGCGGTAGGTTGTAGCAAATTCATTTTTTATTATGTGAAATTTTACGTTAACTTAGTTGTATATTAATGAATTATACATCAATTCTTCGCAATTTGGGAAACGACAACGTTGCTTGGATACATTCTTTATGAAATTAGAAATTGAAGCAATGCAATGTATTTAATTCGTTGATAATTTGAATTACCCCTTTTATTTTTTTATGTAATGGCTATTATAAAACCGACGAATGCTTTTATCGCATGCCAACTGAATGAATTGATAATACTTTATTCAGTTGACAAAATAATGTCTTCTAATTTTTAGTGTTTCCCAATGTCCTTTGTAGTGTTTTATAAAGTTTAGTCTTGTATTTTTTGTGTTTCCCAGTTGAATGAACATAATTATATAGAGCTTTGTACTGATTTATACAATTAAAATTATTTTCAAAAAAATTATCTAAACATTTTCAATGCTATTAAAATAAATGTTTTGACAATGGTATACGAATTTATTACCTTGTCATATAATCAAATGTGAGTAAAATTTATCACTTGATTTTTTTAAATATATTACGCCCAATTTTAATCCAAACAGGTAATTAGTGAATATTTTCAAGAAATATATTAGGTAATTTAAAACCTGGTGGAAACATCGTTTGGATTGTTTCTTGGCAAAAGTGCAGACTACTTTATATTCTTGTACTTGCAAAATTATGTAAGTAGTTTAACGGATGCTTTCAATCTCTTCACAAACAAAATTGAACATTTTCAGTTCGCTATTCAACTCCACAGTAAAAGGCATTAAAAAAAAGTTTTCCTTCTCCTTTTTTTAATTATTCAACAATCAAAATTATTAATTTTTTTATTTCTGCCTTTTAAATCATTTATAATATTTCATTTTGTGTTAATTGCGGTGTGAATATTTTATTTAGGACGCACATATATTTAATCCAAAAAACCAAAATGTGGGTTTTTTTTCAGACTAGCAATTTGTCGGGCCTGCAAGATACCTCTTTTTGTGTCAACTTTTACTCCTGCCCTCTGCGATTATTCTAAATTCGCTAGGTCAATTGTTTATCCTAGTGAAAGATAAACTTAATCGGTGGATGATTTTTAGTAGGTACACCTTCGATCCATCTATTTTTTATTTTTTATGGATTAATCTTTCTGCTGACATCTTCTCACTCCATTTTTTGTCTTCCTCTATTTTGGTATATCTATGGAAAATACAGATATGGATGAGCAACCAACTCCATGATGTCCTTTCAAGGCTTGTATGTTTAGGTTTATATTCTTTGGCCACTCTATTTTCAACTGATATATGTAAACAGAATGGCAATCATATGCTTAGTCCAACTAAGCATTTGCAGACTTTCCCTTTCTAACTTTATCTGTATATTCCTAAGTTTTTCCTCATGTATTGTTTTAATATAAACTTTATTTTTTCCTTTGTTGCATTCAATGTTTGAGGTAGACCCAGTGGGTGAATAATTAATTTTTTTTTTTGTTTTCTTCTCATACTACATAACAAATATCTCATATCGTAATTATCAGGACAATTTAATTAGAGAACTGAGAATAGCACGGACACAAAGTTCTTCCTGAAAAACTGTTTTCTTGTAACTAAAGTAGCGGTGTTATACCAAATAGAAGTGTTAACTAAAACCAAATATTATTTTTTTGCGGTAGAAAATGACTCATTACCTAACTAAACCACATTACTATTTTCACTTCTCTAACTAATTTATCCATTTGATACTCAATCGCTGCAGGAACTGTCAGTTCTTTCATTTTCTTGATGTAAAGTAGCTTACTGGACATCTCTCGATCCTTTTAGAATATTCTCGAAGCGTATAGTAGCTTCATAAATATAAGTTAAAAGTCTATAGAAATATAGTTACATTTATAATTTATCTAGGTCCTTTGAGAAGGTTCTCGAACAAATTATTCTCTCCCATTTTCCAACAGAATAAGCATTGTCTCATGTGTATAAATAAGTATGTTTCTTCAACCTTTCCCTATAACCTCATATCTGCATGTAATTTCCCAGGTCTAAGTAGGTATTAACCACTGGTCCCTCTTTCAATTAAACAGGTTATCTCTTCCTTATTTTATTCTTCCGCGACGTTCAGTGTTTATTATTGTCATAATAATTCTGTGGTTCTTAAGAATTATTGGACAAAGTTTTTAGGTTTCAGACTTGTGTGCGTGTATGTTTTCCAACAACCATCTCCCTGTGTTTATCTTCAAGAAGTAAATTGTGTCCATGGCCCAAAAATAAGGCCAATAATATTTTTTAAACTTATACACAATGTAACAGTGCGAGATGACATCATGATACCGGAAAACGCATTCTTAAATTGAATTTGGTCCTTTTGATTTGAAATGAATTTTTTCTTATTTATTCTTTAGCATTTTCCTGTTTGACTACCCTTTTCGTTGCTTATCTATTGATGTTTGATTCCAATCCTTGTATCTCTGACATTTTCTCCGACGTCATTCAATCTTACTAATATACCTGTGCCGCAAGTTTTTAATTATTCCAGATATAATTTGCTTCCTTTTCCATTGAGGATTTGTGTGTGGATTTTATGTTGCATCTTTTATTATAATTTATAGTTTCTTTTTACTATGTTTTCTATCCTTCTATTAAAATAAATTTTTGAGGAGCGTCATATGTATCGACAGATTCCAGGCACGATTGTAAAAAATGAAGCAAATTTCTTATGATATGATTAATGACATCGACTCGAGCAAGGAAACATGGAAAATCAGAGTTAAAGTACTTTACAAGTGGTACCTTACTAAAAGTAAACCACCTCATGATCCCTTTGGTATTAGCATGGTCTTCATTGATGAAAAGGTCAAAGCATATATTTTGATTATTTATCTTTTATATGTTGTCGTTGTCACTCTAATAAATTTACCAACTTATGTATTTCTTTTGTTTAGGGCAGTACAATTCAAGCTACTATACTGTTTAATGCGCTTGTCCGAAAGTTTGACACTATGCTTATCGAGGGAAATTGTTATCAATTTGCAAACTTCGTGGTTTCTGAAAATACTCTGCAATATCATGCTGCGACCCACAGATATACTTTAAGCTTCCACTTGAGGATAGCAATCAAACCATGCTCTATGAACATCCCAGTTTCACCTGCAACCTTCACCCCATTAACAGAAGTTTTACAGAAAAAGGAGTCATCGAATCAGCTCATAGGTTTGGAAACTCCTACCTCCAAATTTTAACATTCAGTAATTGTTTGCAAACTATTGTGTCATCGTTTCAGTGTCATCAACTTAATTGATGATTTCTAACGAATGCTTGCTTCTGCCACAGACATTGCAGGTTATGTCAAATATTTTGGTGCGCTTAGCCAATTCAACAGCAATGGTTTTGCATATTAGAAACTACAGTTTGGAATAGTTGATCAATAGTATGTTTATCCTATTTGATCTTTCCTCTCAAATATCATATAATTAATTGTTCTTCAATCTTTCTCATTTTTCACAGTGACAACAACATAGATTGCATTTTATGGGGAGAATGTGCTAATGATTCTAGAGAAAGTTATGGGCCACATTTGGAGGTTCCTATTATTGTTGTGGTCAATCTAGCACGTGTCAAAGTTTCTGAAGGTTAATTTTGCCTTCATAATTTTTGTTTTATTAATAACCACTCTATTAACGTAATCATTTTGAGTGTTCCATTAATCAATGCCCACGGGCTTAACACAGATTGCCACTGGACAATAGCCAAGCACAATAGTCTTAGCCTGTCTATTAGAACGCTAATAATCTCAGAGGTAGGCTCCATTTACTAAGTAAATAAAAACTGTGGAAAAATGTGCAGGTAATTTCCTTTCTTGATATTAGTAACAGTTTATCATTTTGGATCAAACTTTCTCACCATTTTTTTTTTGGTTTTATCCCTCTGTGTGAAATTAGATAGTTTTGGTCATTCCCTTTTTATAGTATGACCATAATTGTCAATTTGTTTTACTATTTTTAATCACAACCACCGTAGTGACTGAGAATTTCATTTTGTTTTCTTTTTTCATTCCCTACAGATCCATTTTTTTTTATTGGACCCCAACACTGGTACCGAGATTGAATGTGTCATATAAACCAAAGTTTCTTGTCCCCCCATTTCCAAGTAAAAGTTACATTTTTGACATTGAGATCCTATGGTATTCTTTTTTTACATGCAGGCATTGATACCCTCATTAAGGATCAATGTTGTCTTTCATGTATATGTGACATATGAGAATTTTATACATGAGTAATTACCATCAAGTAGGTTTCGAAAAAACAAAATCAACCCAGCACCTTTTTTTAAAAAACACTTTCATTTAGCCTTCTACTTTGGCTTTATATTTTCTTTGTTCTTATTTTCATGTCGCTAAAAAGTTAAATATAATTTATTCTTGGTTATCAGAAGTACAGATGCATGGAAAATAATGCATGGCTTACACTCGTCGCATTTCCAAATGTTACGTTCAATGTGTTAAAACATAGCATGTTTCCTCATTAACCTATGCATATGACATCTTATTCACTTCATAGGTATCCCTGAGCTGACCAATTCA